TGCCAACAAAGTGACAAACGGGGAAAAGATGAAATAGGAAAAAGGACGAAATAGGAATAAGGACAAAAAAGTGAATAGTGTCGAAAAACGAAAATTGTGGAAATGACTCGATCCTCAAAGGAAGTTGTCAATCCACGGAAAAGAGTCTCAGAAATCATTTCCGAGCACTCAAGACGACACTAAGTAACGAAAAACCATCCACAGAAAAGAAAAAACAATGGAAAAAATTTATCTGCAAAATTTAAGGAAAAAGGAAAAGGAAGAAAATGACTGGGTCATTACAATAGTTATATTCAGATAATCAACTACACTTATAACACTGCCGAAACATGATTAACACTATTAAATTATGTAGAAAAGATTTGTTGAATACATGTAAGAAGTTAAATTAATCATTCAATACTCAACATGCAGCCTTTTTGTTTAACTTCATGTTGTTCCACTCCTAAGAATATTAACATAATCCTGCTTCCAAGTATTTTTAAATGTCTAAAACAATTATTTAGACCATTTACTGCAATTTAAAACAATTCCAGAATACCCCAATCGGCCAAACAGAGCTCAAACCACGAAAAACAAAAAACCTGGAGAAGGAGCCGCCTCCTAAAACAAGGGAGCCATCTCTCCCCCATGGGGAGCCGGCTCTACCCCTTGTGGAGCCAGCTCCCTCCTTTGGAGAGCCTACTCCCTCCCTCTAAGAGCCGTAACCTGATTCCCGATCCTCTTCCTCGTCTCCGGCGGTGTTTAAACCCTTCTGTAATATCTTACTACGGTTTCAAGAAGTTCAATCTATGTCCCAAAGATCTCATAAACTCATAAAAATTCCAATACGCATCGTTAACAAGAAATAAAATAATTAACAGAAACAATCTGTTCAAAAATCAGTTTCAATTTAACAATTTATAACATAGATTAAAGTCTGATTTAACATGCATAAAAAATCCGTTTTAAAGTTTGATTAAGTCCTAGAGACTATCTGGCATGCACAGAACACAGGTTTAAGAGAAGGAGTTAGAATATGAACTTGCCTTAGATTTTAGTTTTGAAACCTTAAACCACCGTCTCTGAGTTTTCCGATAAATTCCTATACTGCCGTCCAACACCTCCGTTGCTCTTGGTTCAACCCAGAAGCAATCCCTTCCTTCTTCCTTAAGCCTCTATGTTTTTCTCTCAAGTCCCCCTCTGTTTTCCTCTCAAGTCTCTCTCTGTTTTCCTCTCAAGTCACTATGTACGTGAATAGGGTTTTCCAACCCTAGACAGATATATACGGTTATATTTATAGGCGTATACATCTCTGACCCTCATTACACTAAGAGAAGGAAAAGAAAAATAAAATAATAATACCACCAAGTCGGCAACCCGTGAAACTATATAAAACCTTAGAATTTATAATACACCTTATATAATGAATAAAATTAAAATTCAATTATTAATAATTACTAATAATTAAACTAATCCACATATACATATATACCCATATATACATGTATAAGCATCCATGGGTATTAACCGTACCCATTTAATCCATATCATCCAATCCCATCCTAAATAAAATTAAACACTTTAATTTAAACAGTTAGCTTAAACATTTAATTCAAGTCACCTATCTTATAAATTCAATTAAACAAAAAGGCAAGTTAAACAAAGAAATTAATTTAAACCATTAATGAATATCCACATAAGCATATAATGCAATTAAAACAAAGAATTCAATTAGGCAAATAAACAATCAAACAATTAGACAAATAATCAACTAATCAAATAAAAATGTAATAAAACAATAAAATAAATATGAAGACTATCCTTTTAAAATTAGGGGTATTACAAGAGCCGACTCCCAAGGGGTGAGAGCCGGCTCCCAAAAAGGAATTATTTTGACGACTCTCAGGGAGAGAGAGCCGGCTTTATAGAGTTGAGAGCCTACTCCCTCAAGACGAGAGCTTGCTCCCACAAGACGCGACCTTGCTCCCAAGTGGACAGAGCTTGCTCTCAAGTGGACAGAGCTTGCTCTCACGAGGACAGAGCTTGCTCTCACAAGGACAAAGCTTGCTCCCTAATTTGAGAGCATACTCCATCACTGCTACTTTATTATTTAATGGAATTTTATTCTGAGGTTTCAATTAATGGATTATCATTTTAGTTTTTTTTTAGAAATTTATTTATTCTTATTTATCTATTTTGTACTATGTGTTCAATTATTACCGATTTGTTTTTGATATCCTCGGGTATTCAAGCGTGGGCCTAGCTAACTCGCATCTGGAAATCCGGGGCTATCACATCATGCCACCATCAACTCTGCCAATGACATTCAGCAGAGCAGTGCACTCATTCAAGAACATCTCTTCAGAATTGGAACGGGTCAACCGTTTAACAATTAGAGAACGCTGAAGGTCCCCCTTCTCAACTCTTAGAGCTTTTCTTTCGGTCTGCAGAACGTTCTTCTCAATTTTCAGAACATCAAGTTCGTCCTGAAGAGAGTCTCGCTCATTCTTTAGGGCATCCCTCTCAGCCCTCAGAACATTCATTTCCTTTTCTGAATCATTCAGTTTAGCCAGTAGTTTTGAGTTTTTGGCCTCGGTTAACCTCTCCGAGTTAACAGATCTTTTAAGACCGGTAGAGAGAGATTTGATTTTCTTGTTCGCATGTTCAATGCTCTTCTAAAAGGTGAACATCCCAAACAGAGTCTGCATATAGACACAAATGTTTTAGAAAGTCAGGAAATCCAAACATAGAAAACAAAGGAAAGTTGGTAGAGTTACCTCAACAGCAGCTGCGGGGAAACGAGTGTACATTTCATTGAAGGTCATCTTGTTCTAAACTTTAATGTCCTTAGGAATCCAAAGGTCCTTGTAAAAAGCAAATGAAGTGAATGGGCCTTTGAACAAAGAGTCAGTGGGGTAACGCTCGACCTGTTCTCACGTCTGAACAAGGGATGCCATAGAGCCACAGCTGGTGAAGAAGCAGAGGTTCTGGCAGCTTCGCCCTCTGGAATGATTACCTGAGGGGAAGGAAGAGTTGTGGTGACCCTGAAAGACTGAGCCCTTTAGGCCGGAGGGAGAGCGCTCTGATCATGACCACCTTCAGGCTGAGGTTTTTTGCCTAGGCCCATCTCCGAAACTCGAGTTCGGACAGGGGACGATCCATTGGCATTTTGAGAGGATCCTTCGGCGATCTGGGTGGTAGGAGGAGAAGTTTTGTTTGGAACGACAAAAGGCTCATCGCTCGGCAATACAGGTTAATCCACAACCAAGGTGGATGAGGACGGTTTAGTAGTAGGCTGTTCATTGTTTTAAGTTATAACCGGGATGGTCGAAGTGGCCACAGAAGCGGGTGGTGTGGCCGCGGGAGTGGTTGCAGAACGCCTTCTCCTACTGAAAGAAAGAATCTGAATGTTCTCCATGGTGGATCCAAGGATGGATATGTTAGAAAGATTGTCAGGGGTGAGCAAGTCAGTGGCAGAGGGGATGTTGCTCAGAACTCTCTCCTTCAGAATGTTAAGCCTGGCCCTGCAAACGCTGTAAACCAATTCGTCATGATTAATTTGAAGGTAGTTGCAAAGAAAAGTACAAAAACGAGGAAGGCAAGTTTCACAATGGCCGTCGGTCGGGTGTTTCTTAATTTTCTTGTATTGGGGGATAGAGCACTCTCCAAAAGAGGTCGGGATAGGGAAAGTTTGAGTGAATGGAGTTCGCCAATTTTCATTAACCCCAATTAGGTTCTTCCTCCAACCCTTTTCAAAAGAGAGCTTGTCTGTACAGATGGATCGCTTTTCGATGGGAAGGAAGCAAAAATACATTTTGTTGGTTCTGATTTTGGTAACCTGGTAGCAAAGGGGAAGGTCCATAATGTCTAAGTCAAGATCCCTGTCATGAATTAAAATCAAGAGGACCGATATTACCCTAAGGAAGTTAGGGTTAACCTAAAGAGGAGAAACCCTAATTTATTGAAGACATAACAAAAAAACGGGTGTAAGGGAAATCTAATTACATTCAAATGAAGAGAATCTCCCTAAGAAGGAGACCCTCACCAGAGCTCTCATCTAGATCCGTGGGATAAACCTTGAGGGAGACGTCGTTAGGGATGTTGTTCCTTGAACGAATAGCATCCAAATTAAGGGGAGCCATTAAAAAAGGGGAAGAAATTTTTAAGAGTAAAATTCCTTTCTTCTAAAGAGAGTAGCAAGACAAAGGAACTTACCTTAGAAAGGGAGTTTGCAAAGTACCCTGTAACAAAGCGAAAGTCGAATCGCAAAGGGAAAAACTCGCCGGAGAAAACAAGGGAAGCCCACTGGAAAATACAGGTAGGTGACAGAGATAATCGAAGAAGATGACGCTAAAGGATGGAGGTGAGAATGGTTGAAGAAAGACAAAAAGTGAGAAGTTGGGGTTTTTAAAGTAAAAATGATTCAAGATCCAAGAAGCTATGGTAATAATGGTGCAGCAGATCTCAAAGCATGGGTCTCTGAACCTACCGTTCGCTTCCCCACGTCACCACTTTGAGCCATCATGTCATGATTATGTCATTTTGATAATCTCACCTTAATTAATTAGGGAGAGATTATGGAGGTAGATGAGGATATCAAAAATGACCTGGGCCGGGTACGATCCAGATTGTTAAGAGCGGGTCGGGCAAGACCAACCGCTCCTAGCCAAGTCTTCACTAGTCAGGCCCAGGACCGGGAAATCATGTTGGAAGCCCGATTTCAGAAAAAAGGAGCTAAGCCTATAACCAAGAAGAGCCCAGAATAACAGCTCAATGCAAGGAGTTAGTTAGGAAGCTTCTAGAAGATCTGTAATAGCCTATAAATAGACTGAAAAAAGAGGGAAAGGGGGTTGGAAAAAAGGATTTGAAGTGAAGAATTATTCTTTCTAAATAGAGAGCATCTTTCTTGCATCTTCAATAATAAATTATGATCGTAAAATTAATAGCTTGAATACTAATCAGATTCTGCAGCAATCCTGTATCAATACGATGCTCTCAATCTACAGATCGCAATCCAGTGTCAAACAGAATGGGATTTATTGACGAAAAATGTTTTAAAGCTACAAAGAAATGAAAACAAGTTTAATCAAATTAACCACACAGAAAACACACAAAATATAAGATCAACAACATATACACGCTCACATTTGACTACATTTTGTGGGTATGAATGATAACTTCTCTTTTTCAAGATCATGAAGCACCAACATGTTCTGCTGCTGTATATTGCCAAAGATGGACATACCATTTGAACTCCCCATGGCCAAGCACAACACACCCATACTCGAATCAACAACCATGTAGTTCTCTCCTGGCAACTGCAAATCAGCACCATCAAAGTGGAAAATCAGCGACGGTACGGTAATGCTGCTTGTGTCGGATGGCAAGTTGAAGCACAGTTCTAGCCCTGTCGTGCTGGAATCCGCCACGGGAAGCTTCACTTGAGAAATGAACTCTTTTTTGACAATATCAAAACCACTTTCTTCTAAATATGTTATTGTTGTACCAGAGTCTATAATTAGGCCACCACTTCCATCATCACTGAGTGCAAAAGTGGATTTCTCTATTGGTAAGAGAGTGGCACCAACTGTGATCCCTTGAAGAGTAAGATAATAAAAAGATGGGTGAGATGGGTTTTTGATCAAAGGGGTGGTTATGATTGCACCATCTGTGCTGTTGACACTTGCAAGAGACCCCATCAACAGAGTGCTAGTTATGGTGTCAGAAATAGAGGTTAGGCAGTATGAGAACTTGGGCTCTTTGAGCTGGGAGACAAGCGATAACGGACCGCGCCCAAGTCCCACCAGCCCTGCACCCTGGCTGAACCCACTCCCCTCATTATCAAGCCCACAACCAAACCCAATGCTGGGAACGGAAACCTTGTCGAATGTGAAAGTTTCTGTTGCCATAAAACCTTGTGTCAAAGAAGAATCTCCATATGTGTAGAGATATTCGCAGCCATCACTACACCTTGACCTTGGTAGAGCTTTACAAAGCTTGTCAGTACACGATACATTAGCGAAAGAAGACGACGTTGTTGGATCGAAAACCGGTGTAGACTGGTCGAAACAATCCTTGCAAGGCTTGCACTGAGTCCATATTAGGTCACTACCGGTGTCCATTATTGCCGTATAAGGTTTTGGTGGAGTACCAATCGATAAGTCCATGAGAAACTCACCATTTCCTGCATGGACTGGTGATTTGACTTTGGAATCCGATTTTTCGGCCAGCACCATTGCACTAAACCTCTTCACCCTTTGCCTCCCGCGCTTCATTGCGTGTTGCAAACGCTCGAATCTACTTAAATTTTTACCAGAATCAACATGTTTAAGAGACAGCCGGAATCCGTTGTGTGCCTCTGTATGGTGATTGGCACCTTCTTTATTGGCTGAACATGCTGGCGAAACAAACAGTAGTATAGTAGCTAGGACTAGAATCATAGCTGTAGAAAAAGATGGTATTGAAGCCATGGATATATATATGTATATTGCAACGTTATTAGACCACTAGAGAAACAGAAATGGGGATATAAGTAACTTGGAATTGTGAATAGTACTACTATATGTAAGTTTGTGTTTGTGTGTGTGTTTATATATATGTGACTGTGGATTGTAGTGAGGAAATGGTCTATGCCTCAATATGATATACGCCTTACTATATGTAACGCTCCTCCAAAAAATGAAGGAGAAATTGGAGTAAGTCTATGAAGGAGAGAGACTAGGAGAGTTTAGAGGAGAAGAAGGTGATACAGTGAGACTAAGCCGTTTCAGCATCAATGGAGGTTGAGATATCACTAGCCGGGTCATTTGGGTGGTGGTTGAAGGAAAATGAGATCATGAGGTGCAACCTTCTGAGGAACACATCCCAACCGTCCAATTTGCTGACCACTACAATAATATATGTGATTGGACCCATAAGGTCAACAAGTGGAGGACATGTGTTTTTTTTTTTTCGGAAAATTGGAGGACATGTGTTGTAAAGCAGAACAAGGTATATGTATGTAGAATGAGAAGGAAAGAAATTGGAGAGGTTGGTGGACTAACTTGTTTATTAAATATTACGCTAAAGAGTGTGGGTATGTTTGTTTCTTTTCCACGCATTGTTGGATAAATTTAGTTTGATGGTCGTCGGATATGATTAGGTGTGAAGAATAGGGACTTGCATTTTGCTTTCCTGTTATGGTTAGGAAAATAAATTGCATATTAATTTATATACTCATAGATAATATGTATAAGCACAAGTACAATCTGTTGAGACGATCTTTAAATGATGGTTTCGCTTTGATGGTCCAAGCTTTCGAGTTAAAGAAGCATCGTCTTGCCATTGATTGTAAACATGTTACTTGTACGAAGAAGTTTTCTTTTCGTGAACATGAATGTTAGGTGGAACTTTTCAAGAGAATGTTTATGATTAAATTTAGGTTTGAATTGGATCCATGTACAAGTAATTAGTATGTGGGGGGAGAACCTCATAAGGTCATTTTTGGTTGTGGAATGGGTCACATAACGGTGGTACAATCACTGGTTTTTTAGGAGTATCGCGGAGTTAGTGGGAAAGAAAGCTTTAGCACATATCTATCAATCTCCCGAGTCTCCCCATACTAATAATGGTGGGAGCCTCAGGGTTTTGTCCCTTTTTTCACTGTGGAATTGGTTTGCCCTTCTTTATTGTGGATTTACTAAATTAAAAACTTTATTCGCAATTAATTTATTAACATCTTTGAAATTAAAAAAATAAAAGAAAGAGAAAAAAACATTTCAAATTGACTTAGAGTTTTAACTTAGTCATGATATCGATTTTACTTCTCAAATTAATCCATTTGTTATCAATTAAAAACTTTATTCACAATCAATTTATTAACATGTTTTTTATTTAAAAAATATAAAAAGAAAAAAAATGTTTCAAATTTAACAACGGTTTTAATTTAGGGATATATGCTTTACTTCTCAAATTAATACATTTGTTATGATACGGACAGATAGTTGTTTCCAATTCTGTGAGTTGCACTATGCGAAATGGAAGTGGAAATTCGAATTTAAAAATTATTTGGCTACTTTATTCAGTTTTTAAATTATTTTAATTTTATCGAAATAAAACTAAAACAACAATTTACAGAGCAAAAATAAAGTTCAAGTAAAGTAAAAAACGTTTGAGATATGACACCAGGATTTTCGTGCGTGGAAATCTTGTTACAAGAAATCTGATAAATCGGGATGAAAACTACAGATATTTTCACAGTCTCGAGCAAGACAATCTACTATATTCGAAACAAAGTACAATAGACTCTAACTCAAGCTCACACCCACTCCATTATATCAAGAACTAGTTGTTGAACATCTTTGGCTAACTATCACAATTCCTCGTTCTACTGCTGCAAACTTCAGGCTTACTCCTCAATTCTTGTAGAAGGGATGCTGGTAGATCACAAAAACTCCGCTCTCTGACCCCTTCTAAGTGTGATCAATTCCTCCTTCCTTCAAATTCTGAATTGATGAAGGTAAAATAGAAACCCTACTTAATCAACTAGATCTTCAACAAGCTTGAACTCTATTCAGATAGAGAATATCACCCTAAGATCACTCTCGTGTAATAGTGTGTGCTCTAAAAAATATAAAAATTTACAGAAAAATCAATGATGATTTTCTGTCAAAAATATTGTTAAAAAGCTCTCATTTGCAAAAATATTTTTCTTTACAACCCTAATTAATCAAGAGAGAAAGAGAGTTTATATAGACTTAGAGAGGTCTCAAAATATATGGAAAGTTGTTTTAAAATCGTACAAGGAATTCTCTAAGAGTCGGGTAAAAACAGGAAACTAAAAAATTATCAAAATCTAATTTTTCGCACATTCAAACAAGTGCAACTTGTTAGACTTTTTTTGAGTCTTGTTTTCTATCAAGAAGCGCAATTGGTTCCACTTTCGTGCTCAACCGGTTGGACTTTTTCAAAGAGCAGTTTTTCATCAGCAAGTGCAACCGGTTCAAGAAAAAAACACAACTGGTTGACTATGTTGAATGTTATTTTTAACCTTTTTCTCTTCTATCCAACTTGTTACTCATTCACATATCTATTCTAAATGATGTTCTCATCGAATCAAAGTATGTGTATATTTGTTGTTCCACTTTTGACACTGAGACTCAAAAATAAATAAATAAATTACTACTCGATCGACAGATACCAAAATTTGTCAATTACAAAATTTACATCTCACAATTTCTTATCAAGAGAAGGGAATCTTTGAAATCAGAAACATCACGACAGTAAACTAAGTTTTTCACAAAATTGTAATTCTACTTTGTTTCTACATCATACTCCATAAATACATATTAAGAATATATTTAGGTTCTTGTAAGGTATGGGTAAAAAAAGACATGTATTTTTATTCGCGGTGGAAAAAAGGTTACTCCGAGATTAAGGAAGAGGTTCGCTATCATGAACCTAATATACTGAACCGATAAAAAGATAGGTAGGAGATACGTAGCAATCAGGATAGCAATTGATAAATCGCTCCATCCAGATGAAGCAAGTGACCTATATAAATGTTAAATAATCTAGTAAATTAGAATCTTGTCAAATAATATTAGTTAATAATTGACATAGCATGGATCAAAGAATTGTGCTTTCGAAACATTTCTTGTGTGTTTTCAAGGCTTAGGTGGCTTTCCCAAATTGGTCTGTTTTTAAATTGCCGCTGACAGGAGGGTTAGTTCACCGAACACTCCTACATAATGTAAATTATAGAATTTGGTAAAGAAGGGTCCAACGGCATGTTGTAGAGTCTTTCCGTTGAGTGAAGCCACCTCTTACTCAAACCCATTTTGGTCATGAATACATAATGTCAGTTATCAATTATACGGGATTATTACTGCGGGTTTTTGCAATAGATATTTTGAAAGACGAGCTCGACAATGGCGAGAAAAGCCAGAAAAAATAAAGCCTTCCATGTTTCTTTATCTGCACTCCTTCATGGTCCTTGTACTGTAGCTCAGAGTACTGAGAATACAGCATTCCCAATCAATAAGAGATTGTTATTTTTTCTTATCAATGGAAATTGAGAATTTTTTATTAGTAAGGAGTAATATATAAGGGTAGATTCCGCGTATTGAATTGAGTAATGTCTATGACACTTTTCACGAGCTTTTCTTCAATTTATGACACTTTGGACAAAAATGGAGCCTTCCATGTTCCTTTATTAGCCCTCCTTCCTGGGCCTAGACATTTACTGTAGTTCGGAGTACCGAGAATATAGCATTTTCAGTTAATAAGAAATTGTTATCAAATGAAATGGGGAACTTTTTTACGAATAATGTTTAGCTATTCAGCGGTGAGTAATTTCACCCTACTCACCCCTCATGTGTTCCAATAACAATATATCACATCAGCTTTAATAAAAAAGTTATTCAATGGTTGATCTGAGAAAATATAAAAAACGTAGATTATTTTGTTATTAAAGCTGATGTGGTATATTGTTATTGAAACACATGAGAGGAGAGTAACGTGAAGCTACTCACCGATGAGTAGCTAAGTATTATCTCTTTTTTTATTAGCAAGGAGTAATACATAATAGCAGACATCCAGGTGGAAATAAATAATGCTAACCATGACAGACACTTCTTATGAGTTTTTTTAAAGATTATCATATCTATTTTGGGCAAAGAAAATAATACACAAATTATATGATCGTGTTTCCAATATTAAAGTGATCTCACAATACCAATAATAAAAAGAAATCTATTCAAAATAGCATAAAATGAAATTGTATTCGGTGGTAAAATTTAATAGTGTAATTTGGTTTAAAAAAAAAATTGTGTTTTAAAATTTTGACTAATTCATGTATATTAATTTGATATGAAATTTTGACTATATAATTGTCATACAATCTTCTTCTAAACGGTTATTTCTAATTAGATTTGCGCTTTAATATTTGTACATGATTATAAAAAATTGAGAAAGAACTCATGAGAAATGTCATGTAGATCCATGATAGTAGTATTAGTACTTTATTGAAAAATATATTTCCAAAGGGAGAGTTTCCTCTTGTTTTAGAGCCGTTACAACTTAACACTTTTGTTTTAAATAGCTGGGTTGGGCCTGTCTTGCCATGTCATCAATTACTCTATATGTAACTTTGTCTTTTTGGCTGGGCCACGTTTGAATGGCTTGGGCCTGGTTCCTCCAAGCCTAAGCAGCAATTGAACTACTACGAAATGGGCCTCTTAGATTCTAAAATTTCCCACTTCCGTCCTATATCTATTTGTAATATGATGTATAAGATAATTGTTAAAAGTATGGCTAATCGGTTGAAAGAGGTTGTTGTTAACGCTATTATTAGCAAATCTCATGGTGCATTTTGTTGCAGAAGTCAAATTGAAGACAACAACATTCTCGTTACCCATGAAATTTTGCATTACGTGAAGACTAAAAAGAAGGGGACGAAAGCATTTATAACACTTAAATTAGATATGAGCAAAGTCTATGAGCGGGTTGAGCGGACGTATCCATTAAAGATGATTGAGAAGTTGGGATTGAATTCCCACTGGTTGCGCCTCATTTTAAAGGCGAATTTTTTTGGCAAACAACGGCTAATTTTTTGGATTAAAAGATTGCAAAACTTAAGCAATTATCTCAATAAAATGTGCAAGATGAATATAACAATATAAAGTAAAACAAGCACAATATAAAATGAGATAAAGGAAAAGAGATTGCAAACTATGACACATTTAGCGAGGTTTGAAATTCTTACTCCTCAGTTCAAGATTCTTCTTGAGACTTTCTCAAATTCATTATGGCTTCTCCTTTCTGGTGGATAACAAACTTTTACAATGAAGCAAACTTGCTTCCTTCCTTCTTGCTAAGATAAAAACATTCTCTTTGGCTTCCTTTGGGTCACACCAACTCTTTGGGTCTAGCCAATCCTTTGAAGTAGATTGTAAGAAAAGTATGAATACAAATGTATCTCT